TGTGACAGATACTCCTATTCTAAAAATAATTTAAAAGCAACTCACATTATTAAAAGGATTTCCCACGTATCTACATGTGTGTGGCTCTTGAGCGGATAGAGGCCTTCTTGTCACTGTTTTGTTTTCCAACCGCAGGTTGGAAAACAAAACAGTGACTATATTGGCGAGAGCACATCGCCGTTTCCAAACTTTACCGTTTGTACGAACTTATAAATGTATGTGTTCTTCAGGAGAATGTGTCAACGTGTCGGAGTCTGTTCGACGATATGGTGACCTGAAATGTTTTTCATTAAAGTAAAAATAAGTTAGAAGTTATTCGTCAGCCTAAATCACAAACCTTCGGTCTCAAAAATGTTAGTAATACTTTCGGACTAAAAAAAAGAAAAAAAGAAAATATTGTACACGCGCAGTTTTAAAGTTGACGCACCTGCTATTAGTCTTTCCTCGCATTTATCATGTGGGACTTCACTGCCTTCACGCCTTCCCGCAATGCATCCTACACAAACGTGGTCAGCTCAGGTGCAAAGTCGACAATAACTTCCGTACCCGTAAGCTATGAGATATATAAAACGAATATATCTACTCCGAGCTCCACTGCCAGGTGCTATGTTTCCGTTGCGTCTGTCTTCTGGCGCATGTCTGTTAGCTCAGTTCGAGGAAACTCCTTGTAATCCTAAACCACGTGAAACAGAATTCTTAACTGACTGACATTCTTGGAATCGGGCATACTGAAAAGAGCCTTACTGTTCGCGGGGGGGGGGGGGGGTGTAAAACCATTGGTGGAAGCAGCTTGCAAGAGGTACTGGAACATTTCTGGCAAAAGAGCAAATTTTTATTCTTCAATATTAAACCGTATTCACGAATGCGCTGGAGTACCTGTTCTACAGCTCGCAGGTGCTCAGCAGTGTTTCTTGTAATAGCAGTGTCGAAGCAGATTGTGACTACGTCCGATTCACCGTTAACTTGGCATAATGTCCGCCGAAAGACTGGAGGACCGAAGGCAACTCCATGAGGCATCCGGTTCAAGGGAAATACAGGCAATTGTTAGCATGATTACAAGAGCCGTTTTTGCCTTCTCATCAAAATCTGACTGATGGTACGCCTCTGAAAAAACTAGTTTTTTATTCCCGAATTTATCAGCTTTGTTCAACTTGGTGAAAACGTTGTACCGGACCTGGCAGTCCCAAGTCTCATTCATTGATTCTTGCGTATCGAGCGGTAGGGTGCAAAAATAAAAGATACTTAGTTATCTATACTGCCAGAACTGTAGGCAAACAAAAGCTGAGGTTGGAAACCATGATATTTTGTAGCAAGAATTTCGATTTTTGTTGCGCACCTTAGATGTACTGTTTGCTTGAAGAGGTATCCAGCTTGCTCAACATTACTTTTAAACACGTTAGTGGGTTGTGGTCTAGAAATCTACAAAGTTTTGTCTGATCGGGGGTGAAAGCAATCACTGGAGAAATACAGCATTTTTTTTTTCAACTGAGAAAGAAAGAGGCACTGGTCATACTCCTGTAGGTTGGCCTTCCCGATTTCTTACCACGTGTCAGTGCATATCAGTTCAAATTTAGAGCCTGTGTCAATCTGAAATACAGCGGCAGTTGCGAGGAAAGTGCAGCTGACGATTTCGTCCATTGATATTTTGACCGACAATATCCTTTGTAGTTGTTTCCACATTATCCTTTCCTTGCTGGGCTCCCTTCTGGTGTTGGTTCGTTCAGCTAATTTTAAAATGTTCAAATACAGTCTAGAACACACACACACCTTTCCCGGCCGGCTCAAAACTGGGAAGACGAAACGCACGTTCACCTGGTACATTCAGTGGTACGTAAACCTTTACGGAAAGTAAAGTCAAGCTTTCTACTTGCCCTTAGATGCCCAAGGCGTCACCTTACTTCGCGCGGAGCAAGAATGTGCGAGGCTGAATCAAATAAAATAAGTTTGTGCTGCGTCATGTAGACAAATTACCGTAATAAGCGCGGACCAAAGTACAAGCGAGCAATCGTACATTCTCGCATGTCTGCTTTGGGTTCGATATCATTGACAACACAGCCGGTGTAATCGGAAGAACATTCAAGGTAGGTGAGCGAGCTGTGATTTAGGTGCACAATAGACATTAATCTCAAAATTCTGGCGGTATAGTGTGACAAAGTGTGCGTTCGATAACAGAGATTGACTGGCGCATATGTTCCTTGAAGGTCGTGAGGAAAAATAAAAACAACAAATCTTCCGCGACTGGGTCAGGCGCGGAAGTAGATGGTATACTCCGCCTCTCCAAACAGCGAGCAATATATTTGAATTCGTATGCCAACCTCTTCTAAATAACCTTGGTGCATATTTGCTTCTCTAGGTCGTTTTCTTTCATTTGTCCCTATCTGCTGGTGTACCTTTTCATTCGTCTTCGTTGACGCTCACGAACGGGTTTCATTTGATCACATCTGATATCATACGTATTACAAACGTTTCCGCTATGCCCAAGCGGCAATGTTGCTTGGAAAGAATTCAACGCTTATAAGAGTTTGTTTTAAGTGTTGGCCACATATATTGATTCAATTGGAAGAGGATAGCGCTTTTTTAGGTGTTCCGGCATGAGAAACATCTGACAAGCCTGGAGGGTGACCGCTCGATTTTTATGACGCGCACCCCACCGTAATCGTTGCGCTTTGGGCACAATATTTCATTCGGGCAGTGAGAAAGGACTTGGCCAATAGAAGTGCAACGAAAATAGTGAGGTTCATAAAAACTAACCAGTTCGCTCAGCCACGAATCTGACAAGTATTGATCGATGAATGCACAAGAAACAGCACCCTCGTTCTTCAGCTTATGATTCATACTCGCAGTTAGGAATAATTTCTATTTTCCACGCTATAAGTCTTTCGCTCTCCCTTCTTCGTGGCAAGCCAAAAACAACGTAGCACGTTGAAGATCTTTGAACTTCCATTGACTAAAGTGTTCTCCAACCTTTTTCTAAATAACACTAAATGCGGTTCATTCATAAAAGTTTACGGTTGGAATTAGGAGCAGCATGAACGGCTCGGGACGGAAGTGAATCGTTTGTTTAGACTTGTAGGGGTCCTCGATAATTCCATGGGCTTCGAGAAGTATATGCAATTATATAATATATTGATTTAGGTCCCTTCTCAATATTTTACCTAGACAAGAATCATGGAAGCAGCGGATTTTGTTTTTCACCATCCTCTATTTTCTAGATTGCAAGCTTCTACTCAGTTTTCTTTTTTTTTTATTCCGACAACATACATCAGACAGTTGTCTAGGGGGCCGTCGCAAAAGGCAACTAAATGCCTGACGAGGCGTCGGCCCCCTCTCCTTCCGATGTTGCCAACGTTACTAGAACCACTCAGTTGGGAAACTGTCATAGAGCCTGCTCTGAAAAAGTGACGCCGATCCTTACTACAGGACCGAGCTAACAGCGATCGCAACGCTGCCATTTTTCCCGCAGCGGCCCCTCCGTGAACTGCCCGTCTGCACTTACTGGTTCGTAGAGTCACGGAAGGCCGGCGGCGCCATGTCGCAGGGCCATCTTTCAGTAGCCATATAAAGCAACTTTCATGTTTCAACTCGTCACTAAGGGGTGGCGTTGTAATCGCATTTAGCTCGGTCTCGGTAAACCCCAGCGGTCCAGGTTTCAAGGGCGAGTTTCAAAACTGACTGTTTTTGTTAAGTTGGCTGCTGTTTTGGTCCTCATTGGCAGTGTAGCAGTTTGGCTTGAGGGTAACTATTCTTTAAAAATTCTAATGGACCTTTTCCGAGAAGCGTTCTGCGCACGCGCAAGCGCCCGATGCCAAGCGGTGGAAGTTGGCACGAAAAATCGAGGAAATTTGGAATGAGGCTGTAGATCGGCGAGTAGAACACGTAATTGCAGCATATATATAATTGTGTTACACACAAAAAAAGAAAGTAGACGGAAAGAAGAACACGACGTTTGGTGGACGCTACAGATTTCCCTCTTTAAAGTCGCGTTGGGCACGCGACGCAGCTCAGAGAGCGAAGCAACTGGTAGCGTAGCTCCCATTATCGATTGGTAGCGCAGGTAGGTCACTTCCTCGATTTTTAGTTCGTGCAGCCACCGCCTGGTGCCGTCGGTATTTGGAAAAGGTCCATTACAACACAGCACACCGAAATGGCGTGACATGCTGGAAGGTTACTAGCTCGGCGAAGAACAGCCAGCAGAAACTAACGCTGCCAGTTCATAATTACTAACAAGGAAGAGGACCGCATCTTCTGTTTAACCGGAACTATGTTGGGTACTCAGC